AATACGATGTTGGCTATGTAATAGTATACATGTGATTATATGTTATGAAAATGAAAAAATAAAAAACTTTATGACAAAAAAATAGTTAAGGAACAGAATTGACTCTCCCAAACCCACATACTGTAGGCAGATCATGTAGTTTAGAGTATTTTTCTGCTTTCTCCACCTTTTGCTTGGGCATTTTCTCTTCAGATAATTAATCTTGAAATGGAGTAGCTTCAGACACTCCCTACTTAAAATGGTTATAAGAATTTGCTTTGGTAACGTTTTTTGCTTTGTTCTCGCCCCCCACCTTCCAATGGTGTAGAGAGCCAAATGTTACATGTATTTCGGGAAGCAACTCACAGTAGCTGGAAAAGTCACAGCTTTACCACTTATGCATGTGCCTGATACATCTGGCGGACAAACGTTTGATGAGCTGGCTACTGGCCCTGTCCAACGAGGCCTATGTGTCATACACCGCCAGAAGGGGAGATGGATAGAAACACATCTCAGATTCATACTAATATTAATTACACTGGTAATTCCTTATTCATCTTTGCACAATCTCTTCACATGACTTTGGAAGAAGAGTAAGGAAAATTGACTTATTTAGAACATTTTCTGTTTCTGGTTTCCATTATTAGAAATAATCCCAAACTAATGAGAGAAATAATTCTTCAATAGTCATTTATGTCAGGGATGGGAAACAATGACTCTTTTATGACTTGTGGACTTCAACTCCCAGAATTCCTGAGCCAGCCGTGCTTTCTCAAGAATTCTGGGAGTTGAAGTCCACAAATCACAAAAGGGTCATAGTTCCTCCACCTCTGATTTAGGTACATGGCAAAGAACTCGGAGTAACCTAAAAGCTTGCACAGCCATTTTACAAAATAACTTACGACATTGAAAACTCATCTATCAGCTTGTTCTGTCTTTTAAGGTTGATTTAAGCAACACTACTTTCAACTGGTTGTTTCCACAACACACAACAGTTTAGGGCCAACCAGGCCAAGACAAATGGTAATGCATGCTTGCTATGAATTAAATAGACAAATACATTTCCACAATAAGGTGGGCCAAACCCACAGAGAAACAGCAACTGCTGCAAAACAATAGGGCCTTAAGCACTTATCCTGCAGGACTATTCTCAAATTATGCAGGACTGTTCTCAAATTATGGAATAAATACAATTAATTTCTATGATAATTTAAGAAAATATGATGAGGTATAGGTAGCCCTTAACAACCACAACAGTGAGTTTTGCTCCATTTTATAACTTTTCTAGCCACAATTGTTAAGGTGAATCATTGTATTGTTAAATTAGTAATACTGTTGTTACCAGAACAGGGGTCCTCCATTGACTCTGCCTCTCAGAAAGTTGCAAAAGATGATCATATAATCCCAAAACACTACAACCATTATAAGCACATGCCAATTGCCAAGTATCCAAATTTTGATCATGTGACCATAGGGATGCCACAACAGCCGTAACTGTGAAAAATTGTCATAATTCACTTTTTCAGTGCTGTTGTAACTTTGGTCACTAAAGGAATGATTGCAAGTTAAAGACTACCACTATAGAGCTAATTCCATGTTCATCCCAATTACTAATAATATCTAAGTCTGCTCTCGTGTGAGATAATATATAGAATTCGGTTATTTGATCCTCTAACACGGGAGTTCTGAAACATTTTGCCATCAGATCTCCCTTTAGGATAACCTTAATCTATACAACTCCTCTAAAAATCCAAACACCAAAACAACACAACGAAATTTTGGGAAAGGTGTATTTTATTGCAACAAAGGATTTTTCAAATCTCTCCTGGACTCTGTCTGCACCTCCCCAAGGGATGTATATCTCAGTTTGGGAAAGCCTGCTGTGACAGAACAATATGAAGAAGGCTGCCCGCTGAAGCAAAAAAAGGAGACAAATTTAGTCTACAATAAGGATGAGAAGCAACTAGATTGGTCAATTCTGAACTAACAAACTAAAGGAGAAGGACAGCAATGAAACAATTTAACCTTAGGGTGAGTTGGGCAGCAAACAAATTCAATACATAAATAAAAATAATTGCTGTACTGATGGTTTGTTTAATCCCCTAATGACATTAAGCAGTGCGATATACTCAAAAACCCTTAATATGGTATTCGTAACTTCCTTTTGCACGTATGTACCATCAATGCAATTAAAAATAGCTGAACACGTTGAAAATCTCACAGCATTTCACAGCACATTTCACAGGTTGAGAAGGATTCTTATTCACTTTTATAACGGCAATAATGGAAGAGGAACGGCTGAAGTTATGCTCAGAAGTTATTTATATTGAGAATTGGGGTATAAAATGCTCTTGGCACTAATACTCTACAGAATTTCTGTAGAGACACCTTATGCCAATGAACATATTTTGATCCAGAAGACATTTATATACTGGTTCAAACCTCCTTAGTCCCAAGGCAAGATTTTTGTTTAAGATTCAGAGAGGAATAACGTTTGAGTTCCTCATCAATTTATTTTTTCTCTCCATGGTTTATTATCCACTGACATCAATGGCCCAATAAACACAATTTTATTCCACCCACCTCACTATCCAAAGCAAACCTGGGCTGCTTACAATCATTAGAACAACTTTTGCATTTACCTAATATTGATGCACTGTCACAACTGATCATTTCAAATGGCTCCTATGCATTTTTAAAGTCCGAAATCATTGCTCTTGTTCCCCCGCCCCCGTGCTCCAAGAGTAGAAGGCCTGCTCACCAATGTGAGGATTCGAATACTTCACTAATATGACCACAAGTTAAATTCTATGGAATGAAGTAGTCCCAAGTTCGACC